CTGAGGTGAGTGGATTGCCTGAGCCCGCGGGTTCGAGACCCGCCTGGGCAACTTGGCGAGACCTCATTTCTACAATAAATAAAATCAGTCGGGCGTGGTAGCGCGCGCCTGTAGTTCCAGCTACTTGGAAGGCTGTGGCGGAAGGATTGTCGGAGCTCAGCAGGTCAAGGTTGCGGTGGCCGGGAGCGGCCACTGCACTTCAGTCTGGGCGACAAAGTGAGACTCCAATGCAAAACAAACAAACAAACAAAAAACCCCCATATGATTATTTCAATAGATACCAAAAAAGCAATCAATAAAACTCAACATCCCGTCATCAAACTTGGTATAGAAGAAACATATTTCAGAATAATAAAAGCCATAAAGGTACAGCTTTTTTTATTTGTTGTACTGACAGGAAATGATTGAAGGTCTTTTCTTTAAGATCTGGAACAAGACAAGGATGCCTACTCTCACCACTTTTATTCAGTATAGTACTGGAAATCCTGCAGAGTACAGTTGGGCAAGAGAAAGAAAGGATATCCAAACCGGAAAATAAGAAGTCACTTCAAAATGATACTCTGACTCAAAAGAAAAGAAAAAGAAAAAAAGAGTCAAATTAGCATTATCCAAAGATGACATGATTTTATACTTAGAAAACCTAAAGCCTCCATCAAAAAACTGTTAGAAATAATAAATGAATTCCATAATGTTACAGAATACAAAATCAACATACAAAAATCAATATTTACATATGCCAAGAGCGAATAGCATTCATAGCTCAGAAGAGTAAGAGCTCCAAGAATAAACATAGTATAATCATGGTGGTTTATTAATCTTACTAATACACGGCTTTTGAAAGTAAAGGCAATAGAAATTCACCCTGAGATCTCTAAACAGCAATTCAAGTGCCTTTTTTTGTTTTGTTTTTCAAAGTAATTTGTGCCTAGGTGATGTTATTTCTTTGGGAGTGTAAGAAACCACGGTTGATTTGACCTTAAATCCTGAAGAGGGAGGTGGGAATTATAGAAGGGACTAGGGGAGTTTAGGGAGGGAGGGAGGGCAGTCTATGGAGGGCAAGAAGAGAGAAAAAGGAAGATTGATGGAGACTTGTATATGAGAAAATTTTTTCCAGAACAGCTGCACTATTTCACATTCCCACCAACAGTGTTTTGTGGGCTCTAGTTTCTCCTCTTCCTTGCCAACACTTGTTATTAACTGTCTTTTCCATTACAGGAAATCCTAGTGGGTGTGAAGTGACATCACATTGTGGTCTTTATTTGCATTTCCCTAATGACTAGTGATGTTGAGCATCTTTTCATGTGCTTATTAGCTGTTTCATCCCGCTGTACCCTGGACTGGAATTGCCCCTAAAGCAGTGGCAGGGGAGTTCCCACCAGAGAACTTCATACCCTTGCATATTTCTCTTCATGATTTTCTTAATAACATTTTCTTTTCGCTAGCTTATTTTAAGAATATAGTATATTATACATATGACATACAAAATAGGTGTTAACTGGTTATTTGATCAGTATGGCTTCTGGTCAACAGGCTATTGGTAGTTAAGTTTTTGGGGAGCCAAAAATTTATAGAGTTTCAATTGTATGGACACTCCTAACTTTCATGTTATTCAAGGGTCAACTGTATATTCCCTGCCTAGGAGCAAAAGCATGGCTTGTTTCACCTGGTTTTTTTTCAATTGCAAAACCATTTTACTTATGTCAGGATCAGGATCGAATTACACACTGAAATATTTGAAGCCTAACAAACTGGAAAATAAAAGTCAAGATTTTTACATATGCCCCTATCACAATATTTTCTTAAATTTCCCTCCTGTAGCTGCTTTCATCTGACATAACAACCCCACTTTAACAAAATGAAGTTCAAGAGATTTATCTGACCTAATAAATGTATCACCTTTCTGTAGATTCTTAACATATTGGAATGAACTGTCAAGAGTCCTTAAGTGCCTTGTGGAATAAAGGAGGAGAAGGAATCAGATGCTTTACTCCCTTCCCTTCTCCACTCCCGCCCCCCAAATGTACACAGCTAGGACACTAAGGCCAAACTTCCTTCCTCCTTCCCTCCCCTCTCACAGTTTACTTTCTACCACCAACATGACTGTTCAGCTGTCTTCAGTAGCAGGGCTTTATTCCAGGAGACTCCTGCCCAAGCAGACTGCTTGACTGCTCATTACAGAAATGTCCACAAAGCCCTATCAACTCTTCAGTCTCCTCCAAAGAAAGTATCAGCAGATTGCACATAAGATCCCTTGCCTGAAAAATCCTTGCTGTTTCCACCAATCCTGGACTGTAGTATCGTGATCATCACACTTCCAGTTCTCCATAAATCCCGACCTCGCCTTGACACCTGGCTCTGTCAAGGTGCCGATGATGGGTCTATCGAGGAGTCGTTCTCCCTTATCGCGACAGGCAATAAGCTGTCGTTTGTCTTATCAACAGGCTGCACGGGTGATAAGCGGGGAGCTGTCATTCGACGTACGTTTGAGATCCAGTGTTCCCTGCGTTCAGCGTCCATCGCAGCTCAGCCTAAGTCACTTCCACGTTGTTCGTTTTTAGCCTACCCTTTGCTTCCCCTAAAAATTGTGCCTTTTAGCTTATGTTCATAACGCAAGTTTCCCTTTTCTCTTTAAAATTTTTTTTTGTTTTTGAGTTGGGAGCCTCACTGTCTCCCAGCCTGGAGTGCAGTGGCACGCTCATGGCCACCACCGCCTCGACCCGCTGGGCTCCTTCTCGACCCGCTGGACTCATTCGATCCTTCCCCCTCAGCCTTCCAAGTAGCCGGAACTACAGGCGCGCGCCACCACGCCCGGCTAATCTTTTTGATTTATTATAGAGACGAGGTATCGCCAAGTTGCCCAGGCTGGTCTCGAACCCGTCGCTCAAGCCATCCTCTCACCTCGGCCTCCCAAAGTGCTGGGATTATAGGCGTGAGCCACCGCGCCCGGCCCTGTTTTTCTCCTTTATACGGCTGCACTTTAAAAAATTTCAATGATCTCATTAGCTTAAAAATAATGAATAAAGCAAATAGGGATGTGACCGTCACGTTGCCAGAGAGGTGACTCAAACCTAACGCGCTTCGGTCCCTGCAGTAGCCGGCGGCCGGAAAGCGTCGCCCTGGAGCATTCTGGGAAGTGTAGTCCGAGCACGCAGGGGCGCTTCCGCTGAGGGATGCTGGGAAATGGAGTCCAGGAAGTGTGTGCGGTCGGAGGCACTTCCGTTCCAGGAAGGCGAGGTCGGATCCGAGAT